GAGTTTAAATAATTTGCCCATGGTCACATGACAGATTTCTGGTCAAGCAGGTTGTTGTCTCCCATCTTCTAGGCCAGCAGTCGCCAAAGATCTCGGAGCCTCTTGCAATAGATCCAGGGTTTGTGTGGGGGGCTGAGTGCCCGCATGCATGCACACTTGTGCCCTAGCCCAGCAGGTCAGTCTGTGGGGGAAGGAAGAGATGGGGGCTAGATAGAGGCTTCTGCTGTGAGGGACAGTGCTGCAGGGGTAAGTTGAGTGGGGCCCCAGCTGGGTGGGATTTACCTGCTGGGGAGGCACACCCCAAATAATTTTTTCTTAAATGCCAAAGGTGATTTCCTACTTAAAGGTTGGTGACCACTGATCTAGGCTTATGCCCTAACCATTCTCATGTTTCCTCTGAGTTGTAGCAGAGCTACTCTGGCTTTCAAGGGTGCTGTGAGGTGCTGCACAATGTTAGCCCTGTTAGGTATACAAACATCATTCACAGGATAAGCCTAGAATAAATAGGAACCCATGGTGTTAAAAACATCCTGTTTTGTTGTGGTTTTTGGGTTCTGTGCAACAGAAAAACTGCTCTATTATTTTTCTGCACTCAAAAAATGAGTAGGCATTTTATGAAGGGAGCTTTGAATCTAAAAAGGAACATGCTTGGCTGTAGTCGCATAGCATGGAAGTGCTTTCTCATCTGTAATGCAGACCCTGCTGGACCACATGGAGTGATTTTTGGCTATTAAAGTTCGTAACGTAAGCACTTCTGAGAATGGCCACCTTTATTTAGTCATTAGGAATCCACTACAACATTGAGTCATGTCTTTAATGTGTTGAAACATTGGTTTTCTAGTTCTATTTAATATCCTTACTATTGTCCAAGTACTCATGCACTTTTATGCTCTTCTTATGTTTTCTGCTGAAACTTATCCTGTGCTATTTTTCTTAACTCCACAGCCAGTTGATACACTTGGTAAGCTAGCTTGCCTGAGCAGAGCCAACCGCGTGGGTTTCATTTGTTTGTGTGTGTTGTTTTTGTTTTTTCCAATGATGCACTGGTGCTTTCTTGGTGCAAGAATAAAGAAACTGGAGATAGAGATGTTTCTCTAACAATGCACTGAATGAAAGATGTTATGCTTCACTGTGTTTTTGCATCCATTATTTAACTTGTTTTTAACACACTTCTGAGCTTAGTTAAGTTGATTCTGTGTGGATTGCTTGTCTGGTGCACCCCAGATTTGAAACAGTAAATATATTTGATTCTTAGTGGGAGAGTAGTGGAGACTTGGCACTCAGCTGCCCCACTGCAAAGGGCCACTTTGACCTAGTGGTTGTTGCACTTCAGAAACTTCCCCCACGTCATTAAAGTAATCTTGAGTAAGCCAGCCAGATAAACATGGGCTTAATATGTAGTTGTTTTCAGAGGATAATCTTTCGAAGAAAGAAGGGGTTGAACTTTTATGGGACAGAGTTAAACTAATTAGACAGAACCAGTTAGAAAAGTTGTTACACTAGACTTGATGGTAAACCAGGAGAAAGGAATTCTTGATTCTCGGAGCTGATAGAGAAAGAACTGAAAAAAAAAATCCCCTATTAAATACCCATAGGCATGTTTAAAATTCTCTTCCTCGTGTCATCAGGAATAACTGCAGCACACTGTCTGGTTTCCCTGTTACCTGGACTACTGTGACCATAGATAAGAGTATGTTGCATAGCACTTGTATTTGCTTATTTTAGAAATGTCCGCATTGCTCTGAGTTTCAAACTCTATAACAACAGTAATAAGAGGGCCTGTCTCCAAATTACTAGCAGTCTTTAAAAATTTGGTTATAAAAACTAGCAGTTTGCAGTTGGCAATGGAATTAATGTCATGGCTTCAGTATATCTTAATGATTAAGATAATACCTACAGCAGCTCTAAAGCTCAGCCTAAAATCTACCACCTTCTCTCTCCTCTCTTCAGTCACTGCTAAGAACGTACATGAATGCAAAATTATTAAGGTTCCTGTGCAAATGCAGTTTGCTCCGAGTGTCTCTGCTGTTGTTCATCCCTCAACAATCCTGAGTCTTGGACACTTAGGGTGCAGGCAGAAGTGACACTTTTCAAGCAGTCTGGCCCCTGACAGTGCTCTACAGCCGTGTCGTAAACACAAGTGCACGGCTGCTGAGCACTTTTTAAATGGCCAATCATGCAAAAAAATTAAACCTGGTTAAATCAGGTATTGCATTCAGGCGCTCAAAAGCAGAGCACCTTAAAGAACTTGCGTTGCCTCCGGGGTTAACTTATTTTTGTGAGGGGGGGCAGGGTTAGGATGGGGCTACCAGCCCAACACCCAGCCCCCATACTGTTGGGTGGGGGTGGGGAAGAGGGAGAGGGAGCTCCTGGCTGCTGAATTGGCAGAACTGAAGGGGAGGGGGCAGGGAATGGGGGGGCCCCCTTCACCTTGTAGGGCCCCCTATCCCCAGCTACCCTGGCTGGGGTAGGGGCCCGTGAAGCGAAGGGGTTCTGACCACACCACACCATACCACGCCATACCCCTTTTGGCCATTCAGCTGCTGGGAGCTCTCTGCTGCCTGCTGAATGGCCAGAGCTGGGGTGGGGAGAGGGAGGAATGGTGTCTCCTTGCCTCTTGGGCCCAAGCCAGCTACCCTGGCTGGGGTATTGTGGGGAGCGTTTGACCCCGCAAAGGGAGGGGGCTCAATTTCCTACCCTCCAGCATCTCCGACTGCTGAATGGCCAGAGCTGGGGGATTGGGGTGGAACAAAGCCCCCTTGCCTTGCAGCCCTTCCCCCCCCCCAACTACCTCAAATGCCCTAGCTAGGGGAGCCCTGTTCCCTGCCCCCTCCTGCTGAGCTCTGGACATTCAGCGGCCAGGAGCCCCCTCCTCCTCCCTTGCTGACAGCTTCAGAGCTGAAGGGGGGTGGGGGAGCAGGGCTGGGGAGAGAGGCGTGTCAGCAGCCTCCTAGGAAGCTGCTGGAGCACCTCTGCCTGCTGGCCAGGAGGGCCAGTGCAGACTGGCTCAATTTTCTACTCCCTTCCCCCCAATAGGTGAACATCTCTTGGGTTGGGGAGGAAGGGGGAGCCTCTAACTTATGGTGCTTTATGTAAAGTGCCCTGAGTTGGATTAGGGGCCTAGTGTCTGTTTGTGCCCATAATGGTGGTTGTGCAGCAACCTCTTCACTATGTATGCTAGATTGATTCACTTCCTTGCAGTAGAGGGTCTTGATCTTGTAATAGGTTAAGGTTTAACAGCTCTTCAGCCAGTGGGCATACTATACAGATACCGAAGTCCTTAAAAATAAGTCCTATTCATTATATAAAAAAAAGGCTTTTTACCTCCATTTTGGAGCTATAATTATTCAAGTCCCTCTTGGAATTGTTTTGTTTCCCTTCCCTCCCACTCCTCCCCACTGCTCCCATGTATTTTGCCTCTTGAACAGTGTTGTAAGGAAGTGAGGTGTAATCTCGGGCAGTAATATTTAAACTACACCTGAATAGACTTGTTAGATAATGTCAGTCAGGACATACTGGTCAGAGGCATGAGCAGGCAGAGCTAGCTTGACATTTCAGCAGTCTCATAACAGTTGTTGATTCTGGTGAGTTGTGCTACAGCTAAGGCTGTAACATGTGTCCTGGACTTTACACCTGCATGCTGAGGGACCTATGAAAAAGAACACTGCCTGTTGTGCATAGTGCGCTGCATCTTGGCAGTATTATCAATTATTGCAAGCATGGCACTTCAACAGTCCCCTATGGAGATCTTGTCTACATTAGGGTTAAAACATGGTTAAAAATTCACAGTTCACAAAGAACCAAGCTTAAGCCTGGTTTATAACTACAACAAGAGTATAGATGACTCCCTTTTTAACAGCTTCTGACAGTATGTTATTGGGTGTGCATGCCAAATGAACTTACAGAACTTGAGCTCTTGTGTTTTTGGCTTGGTGGAAGAGGTCTTAAATTGTTTTAGAAATTTTCTGAATTACTCATTTTTGGGATGGTTTTTTCTTCAAAATAACAGTATGACATTTTCACACGTCATCTTTCATCTAATCTTTGTGGTGGAGTTTGATAATTTTTTTATGCATTTTGTAAAACTTACAGAATGTGTGGGTAGAGAATATTTTTTTCTTATAATGCCCCATTTACATTAACAACAGAACTGTTGTTGGCCTGGACCTGTTTTAAAGGTTTTTCGTTAAAGATTGTCTCATTGTGAAGTCTGCTATGTTAGACCATTTGTTTTTATATCATCCGTGTATTGGTTTCAGTCAAAGTGCAATTATAAAAGTTCCACCTATATCCATCTAGCCTGCCTCCTCTGCAGTATCTCCTCTGCAAGCATCTTTAATGCTCTTTTAATTGGTATTTATGCGGAGATTTGAAAATGCAAAGGATGATAATAAATGACAAATGTTGCTTCATGACGACACCTATGCTTGCTACATCCTTGCAGTCAACATCACCAACTGCCTTCCAGATTCTTCAGATCATTACAAAACTCTTTTTATACCCTTAAGCTTATTGTCCTTGTGACTGAGTGAACCTCCAGACTCCAAATTCCTCAATAGAAATCCCCTGCTAAATGAAGATGAGATCATTTATTTATAATCTTAAAATGGAAAAGGGGATGAGGGGAACTTCTGGTTCATGGCATCCCACTTGAAGATGCTATAGTCCCAAATGAACAGGAGTGGAGGCAGCTCACCTTTTTCCAGCTGTCTTTTCTTCCCTTGCTGCACACGTGTTACAAGTTGAGGGGTCTCCTCAAAGTTTGAGGAGTCATAATGAGATTAATGTTACTTTTAAAGCCTACACAGGTTTTAGAAGTAGCAACTAGTATATGTCTGAGATGCCTTACGTATTTAAAGGTCTCCATCTCAGATGACCTTAATTAAGGAGACCTCTTAATACTCTGTAAGATCACTGGAAACATGTTGATTTGTTTAAGCCTTGATAATGTCTAAAATGTTCTATGCTATGTCCTAATGCTTTTTTTTTTCTTTCTTAAGAATGTCAAACTGTCAGCTGAAGTAGAACCATTTATTCCTCAGAAGAAAGGTCCTGATACTGTAATGATCCCAATGGCGCTTCCTAATGACAGTGGAGGTATTAGTGGAATGGAACCAACTCCTATTCCCAGCTACCTGATTACTTGCTACCCATTTGTACAGGAAAATCAGTCCAACAGGTAATTTGTGGAAGTCACCACATGGAACTTCAGTGGAAGTCACTCTGGCTTTTAAATATAACTTATAAGTTTTCCAACTTTCGACACAATTTCAAAGAATCGAAGAAGGGACTATAAACTTTTTACTTTAACATCCATCTATTGGTGACTTTTGGAACTTTCTTATTGTAGTTAATCTTTTCTTTAATAGATGAGGAAATGAAGTCAACAGTTGATTATTTCCTCCCCATTTTTTTTCCTTTTAATCCTCTTCATTCTTAGCCTCCTTGTTCTATTTGTCTTCGGCCCTGTTCAGAGGGCTACCTACAGACCCTTCTTGAAACTATTTGCTCTACTCTTAAACTTGCCAGAGCAGTTAAGTGATCTGCCTTTTGAATTGAATCCTGCTATCTTTAAAGCAAGGTACTAGGAGCATCCCATTTGGATCGTTACGTGGAAGACTGGTGTGCAGCTAATGGTCTGAGGCCAGCCCATAATTTTTATTTTTCCACAGTAGTATGCACATGGGATTAGGAGTTAGAAACTTTATTCTAGTCCCAGTTCTGCTGTTTGTTGCATATGTAGCTTTAAAGTTAATTCTTTTCTCTGTACCAGTGTTCCTGTCTGTAAGCTGGCTAGTACTTCTCAGGAAGAAGGCTTAATTAACAGTTGCACAGCACTGTGACATTCTTCAGAAATGTATACGCAGTAGCATTTCAAATAGAACATTTCCTCTATGCAGAACTAGCTATTGCATATTTGCAAAATTGCCAGCAATCTTTGCCCTTAGCTTTTCTTTTGTCATAGTGTGGACATAGGCTATAAACACATCATCCTTGGAGCAGGATCAGCTGTGCCAAGATGTGCCCACTTCATTTGGGTGATAGTGGGATCAGCTTAATTGGAGTAACAGATGTCACCCGCTATCCTACAGGGGTTGGTTCTGTCCTGCTCCTGGGGCTTTAGGGACCCAGTCCTTCAGGGCGACTGCAAATGGGGGAATTGACTTCAGGTGTGCCTCTGCAAATGGAGGAGTCCTGAGGTTCCTAGGGAATCCCTTGTTGAGGGATTCCTGGGGTACACCTCTGCAAGCAGGGAACCTAGGCAGGTGCTGCCAGGGCTACAGGGATCCTGCATGCCGCAGGAATGCCTTTGCAGGGGAGTTCCTGGGGTACATAGGATTGGGCTCCTGAAACCCCAGGAGTGCCTGTCCATAGTGGATGGGGAGTATGGAAAGCTCTGGACCTCTTCTGTTCTCTTGCTATAAAGCAACAGATGTCAGCTGCAAAAAAAAATAAAAAAAAAAATGGCACAAATTCTTACTACCTATTGTTGCAGCCACAATTCCAGGCCTTTGTGGCATGACAAGGGGCATGGGTGTCTCTCTGTTTGCTTGGGCTTTGTGCTGCCATAAAAGTTGTTTTTATGGCAGCACAAAGGCGATGTCCATTTTCAGTCATAATCTTGCACTCTGAGGTCAGTGACACACCTATTTCTCTCAGATTCTGGGCAGGAATGAAGTTGAACATGTACCTCCTGGGAAATTATTTGGTGGTATGCTACAGAAGAAAATGGGGGATAGGCCACAGTACTTACTCTCACTGCTTCAAGGACTAGAGAATTAGGTAGAGTGGTACGTCACTGCAGTAACACATGCTCCTGAAAATCTGTGTTAAAAGACTTACGAGCTTTGGAGCAGTGAGAGGTGGTAGATTTCCCCTGCTTATTTACCGAACAAGTCTTTGTCTGGGTAAACCAGTAACTGGAATACTGCTACTCCTTTTGTCTAGAAGTTTACCATGTGTATTTCTGAATAGCTATTCATTTACTTTTCCTGGTTTGCTGAAAAAAATTGAAATCATTGAATTAAAAAGCATGTTGCATTATGCTTCAGTTTAGTTTCAGCTGATATAGATAGGGGATGTGATTGTAAATATATATGTTGCTACACTTGCATTCCCAATCTCATTGTGCTCTGGGAAGTTCTAACAATTGAGTTAATGCTTTTAAAAACATGTTGTATGAAATCCTAGCTTCTCTTCTTTGCATTAATTTTTCTTCAATAATTTTTTCTTCTGAATTATTTGTAAACTTACTGCAGTTGTACATGTAACTATTTATTAACTTTATTCTTTTGCTTTTGCTTTTACAGGCAATTTCCATTGTATAATAATGACATCAGATGGCAACAGCCTAACCCAAACCCTACCGGACCATACCTCGCCTATCCTATCCTATCTGCTCAACCACCTGTTTCTACAGAGTATACATACTACCAGTTGATGCCAGCACCATGTGCTCAAGTTATGGGTTTCTATCACCCTTTTCCTACACCCTTTTCTACACCATTTCAAACAGCAAGTGCTGTAAATACAGTTACTACAGAATGCACTGATCGTCCAAGCCAGTCGGGTCAGATCTTTCCATTATCCAGTCAGCGAAGCAGAAGCAATAACAGGGGACCAATTATGCAAAAAGTAAGTGTGTTGGCACTGATCCCCCTCCCCCCCACTTAACAAAGGAAATAAAATCATACAGAAATAACTTTGCACAAAAGCAAAAGACTCTCTCCTGTCCTGTGTATGTGTATATAATACCACTTTTTTCCATCCTTGATTTCTCTACAAGGATAGCGAGACAACAGTATAATTGCCTACAGCAGGGGTTGGCAACCCCCGGCACACATGCCAAGCATGGCACGCGAGGCAATTTTGCTTGGCATGCCAAGGCCAGCCCCAGCTCTGGGTAGCTGCTGCCAGCTGGGAGCCCTGGCTGCTCCCAGCAGGGCTTGCAGTGTCCCAGCTGCCTGCTGTGAGCACAGCTCAGGCTCTTGGCTGGCAGCCGCTCCCCAGAGCTTTGCTGGGCGGCGCCCCCCCAGGGCCGGGGCTGGCGGCAGCCGGGAGGCTCCAAAGCAGCGGACAGGCTGCAAACAGCTGTGCCGGGCCCCACAGCTCCGGCATCAGCTCCATGCTGGCGGTGACTGCACAGGCACCTCGGAGCAGGCTGTGCTGTCCCGCTCTTCACTCTGAGGTGCGCACGCAGTTGCCGCCAACATGGAGCTGATGCCAGAGCTGTGGACCCTGGGACAGCTGTTTGCAGCCTGTCTGCTGCTTGCTGCAGCTGCCCAGGCGGGCTACAAACAGCTGCGCTGGGCTCCGGAACCCTGCTATCGCCTCTATGCCAGGAGCAGGGAAGAGATCAGGGCTGTGCTGCCTCAGGCCCCTCTCCCACCGCCCGCTTTGCGCCGGTATGGAGCTGATGCCGGAGCCTGGCACAGCCCCGGCTCTAGGGAGCTGCTGCCAGCCGGGAGCCTGGGCTGTGCTCCCAGCAGGCAGCTGGGATGTTGCAAGCCCTGCTGGGAGCAGCCCAGGCTCCAGCAGCTACCCAGAGCCGGGGTAGTGCCTGGCAGCCACAGAGCCTGGGCTGGGGGTCAGGGGCTTTGGCTGGAGGGCACAGGGCAGCAGGACTAGGGGCAGGGGCTCTGGGTGGGGGGCAAGGGGCACAAGCAGGGCATTCTGCCATGTACCCCCTGCCCTCATTTTGTTTTTCTGGCACGCCAGCACTCCAGCACCTTCCAAGGAAGGCATTGTGGTGTTTTTTTGGCACTCCGGCCAAAAAGCATTGCCTACCCCTGGCCTACAGTAACAAACAATTGGTGTTTCAAAACATTTGTACAAAGTCCTGCTGTTGCAGTATAATAACACAGATATATCACCACCTCTTGATCCTTCTTGGCTGTAGAGAGCTGGGACAAGTTGTTGACTACCATTTATCATTTCTTTCTTTGTCCCTTTTTATATTGTGTAAGTAATTTGATATGCAATGTGTGCTATGCTCCTTAATACTCTGAGAAATGCTGTTGCCTTTATTCTGAAGGAGTGTCTATTAAGATATACTTAATAGTTGTTTTAAAATTTGTTAATATTTTGCTGTTAGCAAATTACTGAACAAAGTGCATTTTTCCTAGAATAAAAATATTATATAAACATTTACCACAATATTCATCTTTCCCCTTCTCTATTTTACGTACTGGTTGAAATTAGTAATGGTTGCTTAGGTAATGAAGTTTCTAAAAAAGTTGCCAGCTTAGACTTCTAATGTATTTCTCCTTAAAACACTATGTATGTTGGAAGACGTTAAACTATTATGAACTGGAATGTATTTTTCTCAAGTCAGTGGTAGAATGTGATCTAAAATAGCTGTGAACTTTATGGGTAATATTTCCCATAAATTAATAATTTGTTTCAAATTATTTTGTGTGATTTATGTATTCAAAGTTCAATTAGAACTTAAAAAAATGGCTTTTGGTCTGTTCAATTACAACTTTGTTGTATCTAATGTGGGGCAGTTATAGCTTACGTGTATATTTTGCTAATCCTTTAAAGCAGCAGCAGCAGCCGTTACAGCTACATATAAAAAGCAAAAGGCCTCCAGTGAAAAGTGTAGCTACACAAAAAGAGAACAGTGCATCCGGCCCTGAAAATAGATCAAAAATCGTATTGTTGGTGGATGCAGCACAGCAAACAGGTATAGTTGTATCTTCATGTATGTATTAACTGGTCAAAACTGCCTATCGCTGTCTTCCCATCCAGTTGCCATCTCACCTTAAACCTACAATATATTTACTAACAGAGGCCTACAAGTATCAAAAAAGTGGTGCAGGAAGCATACAGGTGGCATTTGTTAGCATGTCAATTTAGTCCGTGTTACAGAATATCAAAGCTGATGGAGTTACTGGCTTTTGGATGAGACATAGAACTGCTTCCAGTTACTAAGGCTAAACTATCTTTGGGGGGAATTATAGCAAATTTATAGTCTCAAAATTAATCCAGAAGTATAACTGGAGGGGGGGAGCAGGGCACCATCCCCAGGCAGTAATTCTAGGTTGGGTACCAGAATGGTGCAAGCACACACTTGCGCCCTCGGGAGTCTGTCATGGCAGGCATAGCTCCATGCCTGTAGTATGGGGGAAGAGAGGCAAAGAGAATAGGGGAGTTGAGCAAATGGAATGGTCCTGTCTGCACCCCCTTCCCCTCCAACACACACCCTTCTGGGCTGGCTTTGCCATGGGAGGTGCACACCTGCTGTCATATTTTACTCCAAAGTGACTGATGTCAGTGGAAGTTGTGATGATATCTCTAGTACAACTGTGATTATCTGAGGACCTCAAGAGGTCACAAGGGGCACCCAAAATCTTTAGAAGATAAAAGAGGATGGCTTTTCAGGCTTTGAAGAATGCATTTGTGGTATCTCAATTTGAAGACCGCCTGTTGGTTTCTCTTGGATTCTGCTGAGTTGGCTGTGTTAGGAAGCCAGCCAAATAGTCTCTATGGGCTGAAGCCTGTAGATGTTAACATTTTTTAGTTCAAAAGACTCTTGGGATCTGTGATTATGAACATATTTTTTGCTATTTAGAATAGCTCCCTGAAGTTTGAAATAGCAGCTTGCTCTCTTATGAATACAAACACTCCTTTTTTCACTCAGTTTCTGCTCTGTTGTTTTAAGGCTTCTAATGAGTTCTAGGCTGCAAACATGCCTTTCTCTTTCTTTTTGTTTGTTTTGTGTGTTAACCTTAAGGTAAGAATCATGGTTTTAGAAATGTTTTGGTGTGAAAATGGTTAACTGTAAAATGTGTTTTGCAAATATGTAGGAGGTAGTCTGGGTGTAGCTCAGGCTGTGTCTTTGAGGGTTGAAAGTGCTCCTCCTCAGAGGATTCTGTAATCAGTGGGAGCTTGAATAGTAGCAGGACTGGTAACTGACTCCCAGACATGTAATTTCACAAAATGTTTGTGGTATTCTTAAAATGTAAATGTGTTCTACAGCACATAGCAGGTCGTGGGGTAGACTTGATTTATCATCCTGGAATTTAAGATAATCAATTACAGGGCTTAATAAAATAAAAATCTGATTTGCAGATTTAAGGTAATATGCCATAAAGAAATGGCTCTACATAAATTATTGAGTGATATTAAGCTTAATCTTGGATTTTAAAACATGTTTTAAACTGGAGTCTATTCTGCTTAATAATTAATGAGCTCTTAATGTTCCATAGTTTTTGTGTAGAAAGTTTTAAAAAATGGCCTACCTTTTTAAACATTCCTTTCTCACGGTTTGGCTCCCTGTGGGACATCAAGAAATAGATCTGTTTTGTTTGGTTTCTAATGGTAATGGTTACAAGAAACCCCTCATTGAAACGCTAATGCGGTTACATTGGAGCCCCCCACTAAATGAGTGTTTAAAACAAGAGTAGAAGCAGAGACAGAAAATTTCACTTGTGATTTCTTTGCTCTGCCGAGCTGTTGTTTAGCAGTCTTCTAGTGACATCAGTCTATACATTTCTGAATGTTCCTAAGAATCTAATCCGAGGATCTGTCTTAGAACCTTATCCTTTTTTTATTATATTAATCCATGCTCTGAAATGTTTTGCTGTGCTTGCTTGTTTCCCTTTTCCCTCTAAAGCAATGCTAACAAGAATCCTGCTCCTTAATGTTAACCAAAAATGCAGCTCCACAGCAATTTTGACTTATCCAGGTGTTGTTTAATTTCCTCATTTAGAAGGTTCTTGTTATGCAATAGACTGCATTTTGTTCAGTGCTAACCAACTCCTGCTTCAAGTAGATCTGGTAATGATCTGAAAATTAGATTTCCCCTCATTCTGTAAAATCAGTGTCTTTTGGGAGTTTGTTTTGGTTTTTGTCTAGCTTGTAAAGTCTATTGTTTACTAAGATTTCAGAAGCACTCGTTTCATTGTGAATGATAACTTAATATATTTTTTTTAACAATGGCTACACACATCTGTACTTTGTCTTACAGATTTTCCTTCAGATATAGCTAACAAGTCACTTTCTGAGAGTGCCACTACAATGCTCTGGAAGTCCAAAGGCAGGCGAAGACGAGCGTCCCATCCTGCTGCAGAGTCATCTAGTGAGCAAGGGGCTAGTGAAGCAGATATTGACAGTGATAGTGGTTACTGCAGTCCTAAACACAGCAACAATCAGGCCATAGCCATGACTTCAAGAAATGCAGATTCTGGTGCAGTTAATGTAGGTGAACATCAATGAAGCGAGTAGGCCACTTTAGGATGGTGCAAAATAAACTTATGTTCTAAAACATACATTTTTCCTTTTCAGGTTGTAGACCCATCAATAAATGCAGGTATGGTTTTGGTTTTTATTTGCAAAGAAAGTCCTAGAATATGTACCATATTTTCGATGTCACATTTGTCTTTCTACATTTTGCTAGTGGGTATTCTTGGTCTTCGTGGCTTGTTTTCCTGAGCTCTGTCAAATCCCTTCAGAAGAGATGTCTTTACTGGTAACTTCTATGCCTGATGATAATACTGGATAACAATGATGTATTCATATTACCATCATGCTTTATCCTTCTCAATTTTTTTCTGTTTTGTACCCCACCTATGTATTGCGTCTCTGCCAGATAAGCTACTTGGCACAACAATTGTCTTTCATTGTGCGTTGTATAACACAGAACAGTAGAGCTTTTATCTTGTTCGGGGTTTTGAGTAGTATTGTACCCAAAAAGTAATCGCTGTGTAGCAACTGGACTAAACTTGACTCTTAAAACAGTTGACAGAAAAGATGATGAGAGTGGCCATCGTTTATGATAGGGTTGAACTTTAGCCATGTACGAAAACAGTCTGAGGTCACTGTTACCTGTTGCGTGTACCAGCAGGGTGCAAATTAAAGGGGAGCTTGGGGGGGCTGAGTGCCTCCCGCC